TGAGGGGGGATCTAATGGCCTGTTACAAACTAGTCAGAGGGGACCAGCAGGCATTGGGGGAGTCCCTGTTCCCCCGAGCACTACCAGGAGTGACCAGGAATAACGGTCACAAGCTGGCAGAGAGTAGATTCAGGCTAGATATCAGGAGGCGCTACTTCACAGTCAGGGCAGCTAGGATCTGGAGCCAACTTCCAAGGGAGGTGGTGCTGGCTCCTGCCCTGGGGGTCTTTAAGAGGAGGTTACATGTACACCTTGCTGGGGTCGTTTGACCCCAATACTCTTTCCTGCCATGGCAGGGGTCGGACTAGATGATCTACTCAGGTCCCTTCCGACCCTAGAAACTATGAAACTAAAAGTGTAGCAAAATAGCTACAGCTTTATCCTGGCTTCATTCAGGGTCAAAGTCAAAATGAATTAGCTGCCTTGTATTGCTACAGGATAATGTAGATACAGCAGTTACAGAATAACAGCTGATATACACTCCTAAGCAGTAGTTCTCTTCCTCTTTTAAAGGAATGAAAAGCCTCCTCTATCAATTCCTTCATACTGGAGTACATGAAAATCATATTTTTCTTGCTTAAGGATATATTTTCCTAGTCATTCCTTTTTTTTAAATCTATGAAAAGTATAGCAAACTGCTATAGGGGTCTTAATCTCTGAGGGCACAGGTAACTTTAAGGAAGGAAATGGCAAGCATCTTATGTCTGCTTCCAAATTGAAACCTAAGGGCCAGATCCCAGTTACTCATGTAGGTGGTTTCCACTGAAGAGTCATGGTGCTTACCAATGAGGTATTTTGCTTTGGGAAGGTGAGACACATTCACGGGATTTGCTGTTCAGGAACCCTACACAGTCAATAGGCAGAGTTAAGACACTCCAGGGGCTAAACAGGGAAGCACCTTCAGGTTGTCAGAGGAAAGGGGAGACTGTGAAGTCCCAGCCCTCCTCCAAGCATTGGCACCTGAGTTAGGGCTGTACCCTAAGTGCGTCTGTTATCCCAGGGTCCAGAATAGCCAGAACGGAGATGCATAACTCACCACCATAGACACCTTTACCTAGTGACTGAGACCTTTTGTGTGGTAGTTTAGAGATAAGACACTCTGAGGAAGTGAGAGATATTAAGTCGGCATACTCTTCCGCCTAAGTAAGCTCAAACCTGTATTTCCCACTTCTCAGGTGAGGGCTCTAACTGCCAATATACAGAATAATTAGAGTGGCGGCCTCCTTCAACCCTCCTTTTGAAGTTGGATCAACAAGAAGCGAAGAGAAATGAGGCCAAAAAATAGGAGAAGCAAGAAGAAGCAGGAGTCTGGAGCCTAGTAACCAGGAGGAGCATGAGTCTGGAGCCTAGTGACCAGGGCACTCCTCTCGGCAGGGGAATTCATGGGTATGAGATGTGAGTGCGCTGAATCTGCTCGTGTGAATCTTAAGTTACTTTCTGTTGAATCTGCTAATGCCAATGCATGTATAGTTTTACTTTATATTTACAGTAAAGCCTGGCAGCAATGTTGTATTTACAGCTTGCCAGTCATAGTTTCATAGTTTCATAGTTTCTAGGGTCGGAAGGGACCTGAGCAGATCATCTAGTCCGACCCCCTGCCATGGCAGGAAGAGCACTGGGGTCAAATGACCCCAGTAAGGTGGTCATCCAACCTCCTCTTAAAAACCCCCAGGGTGGGAGCCTGCACCACCTCACTTGGAAGCTGGTTCCAGAC